AAAGATTCCAATCAATCTTGTATATAGACTCTTATTGCACTATTTCACTATTTTTTCTGTGTATCTGTTTTATTGTGTTGCACTGTTGGAGGAGCCTGCAACCTAAGGGGGGGGTGGGGGGATAGGACACGTTCGATTCCTGTTTTGAATAGTGTGCCGTCGATGGGTTTCATTCCATTTCAAGGTGCTTTTTGACGCTCCGTGTAAACTTCGCGCACTGCCACTCCAACATCCAATCACAGAGCTTGAGGACTGATCACGGGGTTTGTCAAGCTAAGCACATGGTGTAGTCCCAAACGATAGCTGAGGATTCTGGGTAGTGTAGTGTCTTCTGCCATCCAAAAACTCCGAACAAATATTCGTTTCTCCGAATCGAAGGGGAAAAATACAAAAGCATTGTACACAATTTAAACCAATCAATGTTGTGTAATTAACAAGGATAATCTGGTGTTTTTGAGTTGATGAGTAGTTCAGATATTACTGTAAAATCAATCGACAGTAAAGAGAATACTCACTTCCGGGTGTAAAATTCTCCGTTATCCAATGGGAATGGACGCTCATAATACAATAAAGGGGACATGATCATTATCTTTTAAATAACGTTAACTAAAGGTAACAATCTATTGACACAGCTGAAGCTCTGGCCTTCCTTAAAAACTAACTAATTTAATCAAAATCACAGTTGTATTACACACAATGCACTGTTTTTTGAGAACAAAAATTCGTAACTAATGCACCATAATACATTCTGACGACAAATACAAATTATTATGAATACAAATAAAATAAAAGAAGCCTCCCGTGAGGATACTTGTAGGATACTACAAGCTATAAAGTAGATTTTAAAAACATTTTATAGAATAAAAGCTCACTGCGGGACGTTGTAGAAATGCGTGTGTGCACCACGACAAAAGAGCCTCATTCACTTTACATTGGGGTTTTTTGCGTGGTGCCGACACGCAAATGTAGCAGAATGCGTGACTCCACCACGCAATGTGGTGTTAAGGTTGCGTGGTGGAGTCACGCATTCTGATGAGATCAGGTTGTTCTCGACGGACCAGACCCGGGCGACAGAAGCTGGCTTTGGGGACGTGGAACGTCACCTCTCTGGGGGGGAAGGAGCCGGAGCTTGTGCGGGAGGTGGAGCGTTACCAGTTGGATCTGGTTGGGCTCGCCTCTACGCACAGCGTCGGCTCTGGAACCTTACTTCTGGATAGGGGTTGGACTCTATTCTTCTCCGGAGTTGCTCAAGGTGTGAGGCGCCGGGCGGGTGTGGGGATACTCACAAGTCCCCGGTTGGGTGCTTCGTTGTTGGAGTTTACCCCAGCGGACGAAAGGGTCGCCTCCCTACGCCTGCGGGTTATGGGTGGGAAAACTCTGACTGTTGTGTGTGCTTATGCACCAAACAGCAGTTCGGAGTATACGGCCTTCTTGGAGACCCTAGAAAGAGTCCTGTATGGGGCTCCTGAAGGGGACTCTTTAATCTTGCTGGGAGACTTCAACGCACATGTGGGCAATTATGGAGACACTTGGAGGGGCGTGATTGGGAGGAACGGCCCCCCTGATCTGAACCGGAGTGGTGGCTTGTTACTGGACTTCTGTGCTAGTCATGTATTGGCCATAACAATCACCATGTTCGAACATAAGGATGCTCATAAGTGTACGTGGTACCAGAGCACCCTAGGTAGAAGGTCCATGATCGATTTCGTTATCATATCATCGGACCTGAGGCCGTATGTTTTGGACACTCGGGTAAAGAGAGGGGCGGAGTTGTCAACTGATCACCATCTGGTGGTGAGTAGGGTCGAGTGGCCCGGGAAGCCTCTGGATAGACCTGGTAAGCCCAAACGTGTAGTTCGGGTGAACTGGGAACGTCTGGAGGAGGCCCAAGTTCAGGAGGCCTTCAACTCACACCTCCGGCAGAGCTTTTCTGGCATTCCTGTGGAGGTTGGGTACATTGAACCAGAGTGGTCGGTGTTCAAAGCCTCTATTGCCGAAGCCGCGGCGGGGAGCTGTGGTCTCAAAGTCTTAGGTGCCTCAAGGGGCGGTAACCCTTGAACCTCCTGGTGGACACCGGTGGCCAGGGAAGCCGTTCGACTGAAGAAGGAGGCCTTCAGGGATTTGTTATGCCCTCTATGTTAGAGGCAGAGCTGGAGTATGACGGGGGATCAACACCAATCTCCCGGGGGGAGGTCACTGTGGCAAAGCCCCGGGGGTGGATGAGATCTGCCCAGAAATGCTGAAGGCTCTGGGTGTTGAGGGACTGTCATGGTTGACACGTCTCATCAACGTTGCGTGGAAGTCGGAAACAGTACCGAAGGAGTGGCAGACCGGGGTGGTAGTTCCCCTTTTCAAAAAGGGGGATCAGAGGGTGTGTGCCATTTACAGAGGCATCACACTACTCAGCCTCCCCGGGAAAGTTTACTCTAAGGTACTAGAAAGGAGGGTCAGGCCGATTGTCGAACCTCAGATTGAGGAGGAAAAATGCGGATTCCGTCCTGGTCGTGGAACGACGGATCAGCTTTTTACTCTCGCAAGGATCCTGGAGGGGGCCTGGGAGTACGCTTATCCGGTCTACATGTGTTTTGTAGACTTGGAGAAGGCGTATGACCGAGTTCCCAGGGAGTTACTGTGGGAGGTGCTGCGGGAGTATGGGGTGAGGGGGTCTCTACTCAGGGCCATCCAATCTCTGTACTCCCAAAGCGAGAGCTGTGTCCGGGTCCTCGGCAGTAAGTCGGACCCATTTCCGGTGAGGGTTGGCCTCGCCAGGGCTGCGCTTTGTCACCAATCCTGTTTGTATTATACATGGATCGGATTTCGAGGCGTAGTCATGGGGGAGGGGGTCTTCAGTTCGGTGGACTAAGGATTGCACCACTGCTTTTTGCAGATGATGTAGTTCTGATGGCTTCACCTTCAGCACTCACTGGATCGGTTCGCAACCGAGTGTGAAGCGGCTGGGATGAGGATCAGCACCTCCAAATCTGAGGCCATGGTTCTCAGCAGGAAACCGATGGACTGTCCACTCCAAGTAGGGAATGAGTCCTTACCCCAAGTGAAGGAGTTCAAGTATCTCGGGGTCTTGTTCTCGAGTGAGGGAACAATGGAGCGTGAGATGGGCCGGAGAATCGGAGCAGCGGGAGCGGTACTGCAGTCACTTTACCGCACCGTTGTGACGATAAGGGAGCTGAGCCAGAAGGCAAAGCTCTCTGTCTTCGGGGCCATTTTCGTTCCTACCCTCACCTATGGTCATGAAGGATGGGTCATGACCGAAAGAACGAGATCGCGGATACAAGCGGCCAAGATGGGTTTTCTCCGCAGGGTGGCTGGTGTCTCCCTTAGGGATAAGGTGAGAAGTTCGGTCATCCTGGAGGGACTCAGAGTTGAACCGCTCCTCCTTCGCGTCGAAAGGAGCCAGTTGAGGTGGTTCGGGCACCTAGTTAGGATGCCACCTGGGCGCCTCCCTAGGGAGGTGTTCCAGGCACGTCCAGCTGGGAAGAGACCAAGGGGTAGACCTAGGACCTGGCCTGGGAGCGCCTTGGGATCCCCCAGTCAGAGCTGGTTGATGTGGCCAGGGAAAAGAAAGTTTGGGGCTCTCTGCTGGAACTGCTACATCCGCGACCCGACCACGGATAAGCGGGAGAAGATGGATGGATGGCTTGACAGAAGGGAGGAGGGGGAAGGGGCTCTGGGGGGGTCCAGGAGGGTGGAGAAGATGGAAAATAGTTTTTTGGGATTGGAACAAGAAGATTGGATCTTATCTTGAAAGAAAGTGCTTTTTGCCTGAGAGATCGAAGCAGAGAAAGAGGAGAGGAGAGCTTGATAGGTTAGGAGGTCGTCATGGTGTTTGGATTTCCACCGTTTCCGCTCTGCTGCCCGAAGGATGGTTCTATTAGCACGCAGTGCGTCATTTAGCCAGGGAGCAGGAGGGGACTGACGAGCCTGCCGAGATGTGAGAGGACAGAGAGCGTCTAGAGAGGATGAGAGAGTAGAAAGGAGAGTTTCTGCAGCAGAGTTTGGAGGCAGGAGTTGGAACGAGTCAGAGGAAGGGAGGGCTGAGAGCATCGATGAGGCAAAGGTAGAGGGGGAGAGGGAACGAAGGTTGCGGCGGACAAGTGCAGGATGAGAAGAGATTAGTTCGTTATGTTTGGAAAGGGGTAGAGAGAATGAAATGAAGAAGTGATCCGAGGTGTGGAGCGGGTTTACAGAGAGGTTAGAAGTAGAGCAGTTCCTTGAGAATATGAGATCAAGGACACTGCCAGCTTTATGAGTTGGTGGGGATGGAGACAGTGAGAAAGCAAAGGCGGTTAAAAGAGATGTTAGTTCAGATGTCTTCCCTGTCTGGAGGTTGAAGTCTCAGAGAAGTACAGCAGGAGGGCCAGTTTCAGGGATGTGTGAGAGGAGATTATCTAATTCCTCCAAGAAGACCCCCAATGTTATGCACACCACCACAAGTGTGGATTACAAGTGTGGCTTATTATTGGAATGTTTCTTCATCATTGTTTAGCAATCAGAAGCAAGACTATTAACATTCAAGTCCAAAACATTTTGGTCCATCAAAAGTATTGCCACTTTGGAATTTAACAGATACAAGTGGTATGATACGTTTACAGAAATAGTACATATTGTGTGTTTCTTAACTTGTCCAGCAAACTGGTTGGATGTGCCTCACACAGTTCAGATTCTCAGTATGCTTTGCTGTCAGTGTTAAGTTTAAAGCTCAGAGATATTTTCTATTTTGTCCGTCTGCTGGTTTGCAATGACAAACATAGCTTCTTGTGAGAAAATAAAGAGATGTATTACACATGTAATCATACATGACATGCATTATAATGAGAATATAAGATTTTATTTTATTGTCATAGAACATGAGATGAGAAATAAAGTGCTGCTAATCATTGTTATTGTTATTGACATTCAGTATAGTCACTAGTTGTGAAGGTCACCCTTTCTCTGACTGACTATAATGGCTGACTGGATGCAGGATGTAGAGACAGACTCACCTTCTGTGTGAGCAGTGCCTGGACCACCTGGTTGGCCACCTTGAAGAGACATGAAAACAAATATCTTAACATGCATCATGAGTCTGGTCATTAGAGTGGATTTCAGAGGAACTGTGAGAGGCAGAGCGATTGTAAAACAAAGTGACCCTCTACAAACACCATCTGAGAGAATGAGAGGCATGTAAGGTTCTGTGAGGACACACTGACAGCGGGTTGCATCACAAAATCAGATTTAGTAAATTCACACAGCGGCTGCCTGCAATAAGTACATCTAACTTCTCAGCACATAAATAAACCAAAATATAGTCATAAAAAACATTTTCTCAAAGTTTGACCTGATCAATTGCTAATATTTAGAAGGGTTTAATCGCAATAAAAACATTTTTTTTTAAAAATCATTATGACATCCATATGTTGTGTGAACGTTTTGTTTTTCTTCAGCAAGTAACTGTGTTATAAGCAGGATAATTTTTTTGTTGGTGATGAAAAGTGTGAGTTAATAATAACTACAAGTGTGTGTCGATTGCCCTCCTGAAACACTAATAAACACTGATCATGCATTTAACTGGCTGATCTCAGACCGTGTGATATAACTAAGATAATTAGAATGATCAAATGTTTATATTCTTAATCTGAAATGCCTTTTCCCTGTTTCTTATATTTCTGAAGCACCTGCATCTTCACAGAAGAACAGATTACCTTGTCTCGCCGGAAGTAAAACATTCAAGTTTTTAGAGTTTTATTTTGTATTTATTATTTATTTAAGTATTGCCAGTTCTACACAACCCTCAGAATATTTTTGCACATTTTGTACACAAGCTACCTCCCCACTATCTGCACATCTTTCCACAGTGCTGCACATATTTTGTTATAATTTGCAATAATATATTTTATGTAGATTTTTGGTACATCCAGATTTGATGTAAATAACTTTCTATATCTTAATGTATGATACATTTTTGTTGTTTTTCTTACTTGTTATCTTCTTTGACTGTCTTTATGTATGCAACATATACACAAGCAAATTCCTTGTACGTGTAAACTTATTTGGCATTAAACCTGTTTCTGATTCTGATTTCTATTTCCTTTTTCCTTCAATACCACTCTCTAATCATGTAAGAAAGGAGCCATTCACACACTTTATCTTGATTTTTTAAGGTGTACAAAAAGATAGATGTGAATACTGATGTTTAATCACAGTCCATCCTGGTTACATATATGTGTGTAGAGTGACAATGCTTCCTGCTGCAAATCAGTTCTGACCTAGACTGTATCGTTCTGACAGCAGATACAGCCAGTAGGGATATGGGACATTTCCATTAAGATATAAATATAGAATACTATGGTTTACATGACAGAATTAGTTTGTGCTGTGAGATCAGGAACACTCACCTCATCGAGACAGCGTTCATACTGCTTCCTCTGAGTGTCGTTCTCCATGGACAGAGCAGAGTTTTCAGCCTGTACACAAAGCACAGACATGATTACAGTCATTTCCATTTCTGTTAAAAAGTTTTAGAGGTATGGTTTCACATCTCTTCTGAGAGTCTAATAAACACGATACATAATATGGTCATACCTTCACAAAATAAATGTGTTATAATACAGATGAGCTTTGATGATAATATCTCCTCTTACTCAGGCAGAGCAGCAGACAGAGAGATAGATCAAGAGTGTCTCTCCCGGTGGCGCTCACGCTTTTCAGGTTCACTGGAGGAAGATGGTTCTAAATGAATGGTGCTTTTAATTTCAGGCATCCCAGCTCCATCCCGCAGACCTTCACTGTGTCTGTTCGGCTCACTGCAGGCCCCCCAGGTATAACTCAATTACTGCCAGAGGTTTTGCACCACGGGAAACAAAAACCATTCTGGGAACTCAGGAGGTGACTTTCCACTGAAATGATTAATCCAGTAAATCTTAAAGGCTAGGCCACCTCAGATAGCTCGTGTACACTGAAGTGCTGAGGGCAGCTCCTCTGAACAACAGGTTCTCAGACACAACACAGGAGACTGTGTACTGCACCGACTCAATAAAAAATGACCTTTCCATACAACAAAACTGCATTATCAACTATGTAATTAAGGAAATACATTTGTTCCCAGGTTATGTTTTTGTGATGTATCAAACATTCTTAGGGAGAAAGTTAGGGTGGGTGGATGAGTCAACAAACGTGGGACTTTAACCAAGGACACAGCAGTTTGTGTCAAATATCAAGACAAAAGTCAACGTTGAGTTCATTTATATTAAGTTATCTAACAGACATACTTTTTTTAGGCCAAACCATGATATTTTACTAAACCTAACCTTACCACAATATAACTTACCCAACTACTTTAGTTTTGTTGCCATTTAGTCTTATTTCAATTTACAATATTATGCACGTTTTTAATACTGTATACTCCATTACCTCCAAACATAATATAGAATCGGTTTGGTTGTATCGGAAACCTCATTTATTTTCACGATTACAGGCCTGTCCAACTAAACCCAGGTTAAAGGCCAAAGACAAACACCTCAGTATTTCTGGTTCACTGGCTGGCTGCTGAAATGACACATCATGTTCTGGCTCAGTCTGTCCTGAGGAAGGATCAGCCTGAACGCTGCGCTGCTGTGTGTAAAGGTCAGGGGAGTCCAAGTTATGAGTTTGAACTTTAAGTGTTTGAGCCTTTTACAGTTTGTGCTATGTTAGCTCAGACTTGCTATTTATATACAGTAGCAATACCCAACTCAGCACGATTATTAAACATGTTACACAGTAGATTCCAGTAAAAAACATAAATAAATCATATGTCAATAAACGCACTGTTTTTGACTCTGCGGAATATATTACTTTTTCAGAAAAATATCCCCAATGCTAAAATAAATCACTTGCAAAGTTGTAAATGTTAGGCAGCATGTTTACCGCCATGCTCTCTGACCCTGTTTCTAAACATCAATCAGAGGGTTAGTCTCTGACAAATACTCGGGATATTCGTGGTTCAGGAGCTGAGAGGAGTCGGCGACTTTAAGTCACTCAACAAGAAAAAGCAGAGCAAGCTCAGTTTGTTTTTATTATTCATCTTTTCACTCTTTCTGTGGTTCTTGGAGCAATTTTGTCTTCATTTGTTATGGTTGATTATACTGAAGGTACCCAAGTGTGCCATAATTACTGCAAAGTAGTTTCAAACTAAATGGAAAACCTTGTAATGTTTCTCCAGTTGAGCATTAAAGTTAAATTACAAATGTGGGTAAAATAAAGGCATCCACCATGAAGAGGCAATGGCTCTACAAAATACTGTACATTAAGAATGATCCATTAGTGTTAGGATCTGTCTGTGTTGGTGTTTTTCTTGTCTTTTTCCATCTTTGGGTATCCTGTTTTATTTTGTAAAGTGTTCACCCCCATTTCCTGCCTGTTTGCTTTCTGTCTGTTTCCCTCCCTGATTACCCGATTGTGTTCACCTGGTGCCTCTGTGTTTTCTCCTCCCTCCTCACCTGTCTCGTGTTTATGTGATTAGTCCTGGGTGTATTTAAGTTCTGGGTTTTCTGTCTCTCTTTGTCGGGTTGTCTTGTGTAATGACCAGTTCATCGGTGAGTGGTCCGTTCTGTCTCTGTTTGTTGTAGATTTGTAGCCTTGAAATAAAGGAGTTATTTTCGTTATATCTGCATTTGGGTCCTGCTTCCTGCACACCGTAACATTACAACCCGACCAAAGTATGGGCCCAGCAGATCCTTTTGAGCAGGAGCTATTGGAGTTTTCCTTGGCTTTGGATGACTGCTCGTATCTATGGTTGGGAGCGTCCAGGGTTCAGCAGCGAGAGGCTGTTCTGGCAGAGGCACGCCGGATTACTATGGAGAAGCCAGGCTTGGTTAAATTCTTATCGGGCAGGATTTTGGATTTTCTCACGGTGTGTTATCCCTTGCCTGACAGCCCCAGGCCTCCCAACTCCCGTTTTGATACCACACGCATCGGTGTGGTCCGTCTGGCGTCAGCCCCTGCTTCTCACCCAGTGTTTGCTACAGTCCAGGAGCCATTCGCTGGTACTCGTCTGGCCTTTGGAGGTCCACGGAGCCTCCAAACGGCTCCTAAAGGAAGGAGTCGCAAGGCCAGGTTGGCAGCACGAGCCCAAAGGGCCAGGGTTCCAGAACCAGTTCAGCCCCCAGCATTCAGGGTCCAGGCTTCCGCTCCGGAACCAACAGCCATGTTTCCGGCTTCAGAACTGGATCATACAGCCATGTTTCCGGCTTCAGAACTGGATCATACAGCCATGTTTCCGGTTTCAGAACTGGATCATACAGCCATGTTTCCGGCTTCAGAACTGGATCATACAGCCATGTTTCCGGCTTCAGAACTGGATCATACAGCCATGTTTCCGGCTTCAGAACCGGACCTTACAGCCCCAGTTCTGGCCCCAGCAGCCATGGTCCCGGCCCCAGTCCCGGCCCCAGCTGCCATAGTCCCTTCTCTAGTCCCTTCCCTAGTCCCTCCTCAGGTCACTTTCCTAGTCCCTTCTCTAGTCCCTTCTCCAGTCCCACCTCTAGTCACTTCTCTAGTCACTTCTCAAGTACCAACTCTAGTCCCATCTCAAGTCCCTTCTCTAGTCCCTACTCAATTCCCTTCTCAAGTCCCTCCTCTAGTCACTTCCCTAGTCCCTTCTCCAGTCCCCCCCTTTAGTCCCCTCTCTGGTCCCTCCTCTGGTCCCTTCTCGAGTCCCTTCTCTAGTCCCACCTTGAGTTCCCTCTCGAGTCCCCTCTCCAGTTCCCTCTCAGGTCTCCTCTCGAGACCCATCTCGAGTCCCCTTTCGAGATCCCTCTCGAGTCACCTCTCAAGCCCTCTCTCCAGTCACCTCTCGAGTTCCATCTCTAGTCCCTTCTCAAGTCCCTCCTCTAGTCCCCTCTCTGGTCCCTCCTCTAGTCCCTCCTCTAGTCCCTTCTTTAGTCCCATCTCTAGTCCCTACTCAAGTCCCTCCTCTAGTCAATTCTCTAGTCCCTCCTCTAGTCACTTCTCGAGTCCCCTCTCTAGTTCCCCTCTCGAGTCCCCTCTCGAGTTCCCTTCTCTAGTCTCTCCTCTAGTCCCCTCTGGAGTCCCCTCCCTAGTTCCCCTCTCGAGTCTCCTCTCGAGTCCCCTCTAGAGTTCCCCCTTGGTTCCCCTCTCGAGTCTCCTCTCGAGTCACGTCTCAAGTCCCTACCCAATGTCCTGGTCCGTTGGAGGTTCAGCTGGGGGTCCTGCCAACTCCATGTCCTGTCCCGTTGGAGGCCCCGTCGACTACTCCTCTGCCGGGGGTCCTACCGATCGTATGTCTGTCCCGTTGGAGGTCCCGCCGTCTACTCTCCTGCCGGGGGTCCTGCCTACCTTGTGTCCTGTCCCGTTGGAGGCCCTGCCGACTACTCTCCTGCCGGGGGTCCTGCCACTCCTATGTCCTGTGCCGTCGGAGGCCCCGCCGACTACTCTCCTGCCGGGGGTCCTGCCTACCTTGTGTCCTGTCCCGTTGGAGGCCCTGCCGACTACTCTCCTGCCGGGGGTCCTGCCACTCCTATGTCCTGTCCCGTTGGGGGTCCCGCCGACTGCCCTCCTGCCTGGGGTCCTGCCAACCTTATGTCCCGTTGGGGGTCCCGCCGACTGCGCTTCTGCCAGGGGTCCTGCTAATCCTGTGTCCTGTCCCGTTGGGGGTCCCGCCGACTGCCCTCCTGCCGGGGGTCCTGCCAATCCTGTGTCCTGTCCCGTTGGGGGTCCCGCCGACTGCCCTCCTGCCGGGGGTCCTGCCAACTCCTGGTCCTCTTCCGTGGGGAATCTTGCCGACACCGGCTCCTGCCCGGCCTCCGGAGCTGTCCGGTCTTCGCCCTCGAGCCCGGCCCCCTGAGAGCCCGGCCCCCTGAGAGCCCGGCCCCCTGAGAGCCCGGCCCCCTGAGAGCCGCGGTCTTCACCCTCGAGCCCGGCCCCCTGAGAGTCGCGGTCTTCGCCCTCGAGCCCGGCCCCCTGAGTGCCGCGGTCCTCGCCCTCAGGCCCGGCCCCCTGACTCTTCCTGCCGTTGCCTTCGCCCTCGGGCCCGGCCCCCTGACTCTTCCTGCCGCTGCCTTCGCCCCTCCATGGTCCCCACCTTGGACTCTGTCTTGCCCCCGGGCCGTCCGCCCGAGTCCCCCTTTTTGGACTCTGCCTTGCCCCCGGGCCGTCCGCCCGAGACCCCTTCCTGGTCCACTGCCGTGCCCCTGTGCGGTCAGTTCAGTCCTGACCCCCTCCACCCACCCTGGTGGCTTAGTGATGCGTCCCTCCTCCGGACCCCCTCCATCCACCCTGCTTGAGGTTTTGGACTTTGTTTTGTTTTGGGACATCTGGGATCCGTCCCTTGGGGGGGGGGGGGGGGTACTGTTAGGATCTGGCTGTTGGTGTTTTTCTTGTCTTTTTCCATCTTTGGGTTTCCTGTTTTATTTTGTAAAGTGTTCACCCCCGTTTCCTGCCTGTTTGCTTTCTGTCTGTTTCCCTC